GGAGTTCTAGGTACGTTGGTTTCAAAAACTCGGCATTCTTTATTAGATTTTTTTAAAGTAGTCAGTGCTCTAAATGAATTCGTTTTCTGGAAGAGAAAACCACGGCATTTAAGGGGCAACTCTTTTGATACCATGAATAATATACTATAACTCTTATAATCCTTCTTGTGCTCCTTTTAAAGATGGATAAGGTGGCATGAGTCTAAATTATTATTCTAAATAACGAGGTGAATTCCTCCCTCCCTCCCTCCCAAAAAATAAGTTTTATTTATGGACTTTTTTGGCTTAATGTATATGGCGAATTAATTTTTAAAAAGGCGCATGACTTCTTAATTCATAGACTAATCTGATGCTCGCATGAATTCCTTTAAGTAAATATCTAAAGGCATGTAATCTCACTAGGACGCAAGAAAGTCTATTTAGTTAAAATAGAATATTTCAGATGTGATCACAAACCTGTTACATGTATTATACAAATGCCTCGTTTTACCTTCTGTTGTCAGAATCACGTTGCCTCTCGATTTCTTCTACCAAACAGATGCGGCAGAGAAAATGTCAGAATTGTAAATGTCAAATGGAGACCAGCATTGACCAAATTCACCTTCGTCATAAGGAAACCTGGAGGAAATATTGTTGAAGTTCCATCCTGCCCAACGTATCTCATTGGTTACTTAAACTGCGCGGAGCCTTGCGGCCATTACCGAAGAACCCGCAGGCACGCCGGCGACGGTAAGTACCGACCACGAATAACAACAGAATTGACAAACTTTTCTCTAAGGAAGGACAGAGTAGTCACAAGTGTGTGGGGGTGGGTGTACATGCATGTGTGCGCGTGTGCCCGTGCATCCGTGCGTAATGTTTGCAGGGTTTAATGTATGGATGAATATTCCTTTATTATTTCTTCGGTGATTAAACGATAAAGCTTAGCTTATTTTCTCTGCAGGGAATTCAATAAAACTTCTTAAGTATCAAAACTTTTGGCAGCTTGTGAAGATGCTTGGAATTGAATTTGTATTTATGAACGTCTCACTCGGATCCTTCTTCCCAGCTCCCTCAGGCACGAACAGCTCGTTCGGCGCCGCAGTCCCGCCGCCGGCGAGCCCCCTGCCGCCGCCTCAACTACAGGACGAGGAGCAGGACGACGACTCTTACTGGGAGCAGTTGTCGCAAAGGTTCCTGAAGCAGGAGCAGGAACAACGCCACATGGACTCCCGGATAGTAGGCGGCACCAACGCAGACAGGAAGACCTGGCCATTCATCGTTTCCTTAAGTTACAGAGGTTCTCATTTCTGTGGCGGGAGCATCATCACTGCTGAATGGGTTCTGTCAGCTGCCCACTGCTTATACGAGTATGTATTCCTTTAGGCTGCTAGAATGTCCTGGGAAACTTGCATGTCTTCGTTAAATAAATTCACTTGGCAGCGGTTAGAAGTGTTTGATGGTATGATAAGGCTTCAGATATGAATCCCTTTGACTACATCACCTCAGACAATGTTCGTGAATAGAAGTGAACTCCATTTAAAGTAAGTCGTGGCTGTAACGATTCATAAATGAAGTTTGGAGTGAGACTGGCGAAGCCTTTTTCTTAAACCTAAAGTTCCACCTTGTACATTCTTTTGAACGAGGTGCTGCTGGGCCCTCCTGCCCTCCTGCTTCGGTGGGCCCTCGGTGGGCCCTCCTGCTTCGGCCTCCTGCTTCGGGGCCCTCCTGCTTCGGTGTCCTCGGTGGCCCTCCTGCTCGGGCCCTGCTTCCCTCCTGCTTCGGTGGGCCCTCCTGCTTCGGTGGGCCCTCCTGCTTCGGTGGGCCCTCTGCTTCGTCCTCCTGCTTCGATCGCGATGCGGGGCTCATATGTCGCTCGCATGTCCTTCATTGTATTTTATCATAAAAATGATATTGGAATTGATAATGATACGTTAGTCTAGTCACACTGATACAGGCAAAGTGCAACTGAGTAGCAGGACCCAGCACTGATGCTGATTACTTGGAAACAGTTAGTAGCTAATGGGAATGTTTAATATTTAAGTGTATAACCATATCCGCATCGCAGTGAATTCTTTGTTTGAAATAAAGATTTTCCTCCCAGACTGAGAAGAAGACTAAGGAAAACGGTGATCGAGGTACAGGCCGGCATGTTTAGGCGGCTCTCCTGGTCGCCCTATGAGCAAACATCAACAGTGTCCCATGTCGTGTTCCACCCCGGATACAACAAATATTCATCAGACAATGACATCATGGTGATAAAGATAGCAACCCCATTCCAGTTTAACAGGTGACTTTATTTCACATGTAAAAGCACATTATTTATGCTCTGTACTTTTGTTTCCTGTTACTTGCATGGACAACAGATGGAAACTGAACGCCATTTATATACGCAGTATTATGGAATAATGAACGATTTTTCCATAGTAATGATCAATTGATTAATTATTGAAAGATGTCAATAATCGTCCCGCGCTGCTAGTTAACCCTTTGGCAAATACTTCATTTCATACCGTTGATGAAGAACGTAATGTGCAAAGAATATAAAATATGCGAGTCCAAGGTCATTGTCACCCGTGTGTTTTTTTTTTTTTTTTTTTTTTTAAGCTTGCGAGAGCTGAATTGTGATAGTCATAATTTTAACTTTAAAGTTTTGAAAGACTTTTTTTTAAAGGGTTGATAGACATTTGGCTTTCGCAATCCCCAGGTGGGTGCGACCCATTGCCTTGGCACAAAAGGACGATGTTGTGGACAAAATGTGCAGCGTGGCAGGCTGGGGCACTACTACGGAAGGAGGACGAATACGTAAGTAAACTCGTTTTCACTTTGGGTTGTAAATATTTCACACATATTTATAGGTCATAAAGCAGATAATTATTACAGGATAAACAAAGAAAGAAATGTATATTTCAGCCAACGAATTGCAAGAAGTGAATGTTCCTTTACATAGGCAGTGTCCAAGAGTTTACAAAGTGCCTAACGCTCATTTCTTGTGTGCTGGTTATCGCCACGGGGGGAAGGATTCGTGCCAAGGAGACTCCGGAGGGCCCATGATGTGTAACAGGTATTTTCTCTTGTAATTATAGCATTATAGCCTGCAAAACTTCAGTGATTGATATTGTCTGCACCCTTTGTTTTTCGGAATACCTTCCTCTGAAATAAACGAGTATTTGTTCTATCAGTGTCAAGAAGGGCTGGGAATTATATGGTGTGGTTTCCTTCGGCATCGGTTGTGCAAGAAGGGGCTATCCCGGCGCCTATACGAAAGTGCCTTTTTACTACAGGTGGATCAAATTAGCGATGCGTAAGTACAGACGTCTAAATACAGATGTGTTTACATTACCAGGAAAGTATTATTTACATGTTTTCAGTAGCATATTAATAGATTAGAAGTGAATTCATAATTTGTATACCATATACAGAAAATGTCAGTGTCAAAAAATATCGATGAATATAATATGACAATTGCATCGACAGGTTCCTGGAACATGATTTCAGCAAAGCAGACATGTGCTAGGAAGTGTTGGCGTAATTTGGGGTCGTGTCTCCAGTCCTCTCGCTGTAGGTCACTGGTAGGTGAGACGGGGTTGATCAACATGCGACGCTTCCTGTCTGCATGCTCTTGAATAAAGGGAGAGAACAAGTAAAGTGTACGTAAGGCAGCTAAAAAATATGCACTGCATCCCCCCTCCCCCAGAATGATTGCTGGGATCTAAAGATGAGGTGCTATTCTAGAAGTCTGAATATCAGCACTACAGACCCTCCAATCCATGAATCATCAGCATTGTCTCCAGTAGTGAAGGCTCAGTTTACAAAACGTAAGTGTTTTGGATTTCCAAAGACGACCTGTAGCTATTCATATTAAAGATTTTCGGGCATTGGGTAATCGTATGAATATTTCTAGCTTGTCCTGAAGGCATGTCGCCATGCTTCGCAACCAACGAATGCTTCTTTCCAAACCAAAGGTGTGATAGGGAGATTAACTGCGGCGATCTGTCCGATGAACTGAACTGTACCTGTCTCATGCGCACTGCAAATGAATACCTGTGTGATGGATACCCAGACTGCCCTGACTTCTCAGACGAGCGTCATTGTGTGAATAACGACAAAGGTCGGTGCTTTATTTCGTGGAAAAGTGCGAGCAGATTAAGCATTTGCCTGATATACTCGGTATAATGTTTTGTGTATTACGAGTAGCTAATTACACCATGATTTTCTTCTTCGTCCATAGGATGCAGTGAGGGAGAAAGATGGTGCATGCAAGCAGGAACACCTACCTGTGTGAATAAGGATAAACAGTGTGACGGAGTACAAGACTGTGATGATAAATCGGATGAACACCTGTGTATGCGCCTGGTCTCCAACGCACATGATTCTAGTGTAAATAATTCAAATGAAAGGCAAACTTTTTGACAGATATCAGATAAACATACAAGTAGTTATAATTTAAGCTTCTGAACCCCCTCCCTCTCCCACTCTTAGCAATTATCTGCGCGGTGAATTAAGCCACGGTCACACTACTCGGTGTTTAAAGGACCCCGATATATGGCGTAACTTTGCCCCACTCCGGCTGGTCATCGTGGCTGATCCCTTCCCCAACTAGAGACGGGGAAAGGGCGCCCGGTCGATAATTGAAAACAAATTATGACTAACAAATCATGAAATAACAATTACCAGTTATTTTATTAATTAATAAAATTGCTTTGATAATTATTTTAATTACGCTAACGGTGTTTTCATTTCAAATTTGTTTTGCATAAATGTATGAATAATTCATAGCACTTATTTTCTAACTTTACATGTTATATGGAACTCATCTGCCAAACGAACGGGAACTTTTCACTATCAGCACAAAGTTTGAGCATGGATCTTCCTTTAGTAATTTATTCCCTCGCTATCATTTTAAGCCCATTGAAGGATTATGGAAAAGAAACCACAACTTCAAGATCAAGACACTGGAAAGGGAAGGTCTTGATATTAAGCTATCGTCTTTACTAAAGTAAAGTGCGATCGAGATGCCTTGCATGTAAATAATGGATATAATTTGGTAGTTGTATATATGTTCACTGTAACAGGCTTCTAAAGGAAGAAGGTAGGGGTAGATAAAAAATATTCGTAGAATAAATATAAAGATTTAATAAAATATAACTGAATAGAGAGAAAGACAGACAGTGAGGAAGAGTGAGTGAGCAACAGATGGATCTTACAGCGAACAAGGAAAAGGTTAGAAAGAAAAGAGAATGGAAAAGAAAAGTCGGAAATGGAGGAGAAAAAAAATAACAAAAAAATTAGAACAAGTGACATGTACTTTCCGCACATGTAAATTTAGGTAGTGTGAGGCAGTGTGAGGGCGGCTTCACGCTGAGGCAGAGGGGTTGGCGAGGGGGGTGTAAGGATGAGGGTGTCAACTATTTGTTCGCCAAATGTTATTACTGCACATCCTCTCATTCTAACACCATATGACTTTTGAATACATGATTGATGGATCATATTTAAGACAATTCATGAAACCATTATAACAGGGTTCAGTGCGGCATTGAAGCAAACGTCTATAACAAGCTGTTTGACTGTCCATGCAAGCTTAATGCAACTCGGGTAATTGTTCCTTAACGGTCCACGTTACAGCCGACTTGGGGGTGGCTCGGGGCGACAGGTCATTCACGTCATGCCATGATGCATGCTTTATATTTTATGCCGTTTATTATACAAGGAACCATCATGCCAACAGCACATACTCTGGGGAATTGCCTGAGGGAGAACGGGATGTGTAATGCTACGATTCGCTATTGTTTTGCATGATGGGCGATTTTTAAAACAAATATTTATCTGCCATGAGGGGAGAATGCCATGCGCCAACACATGGTGCACTCTTGTTGCTGACGTGAACCTGTATGTAACCTCTTTTATTTGATCATTCTCTGTGTCAACTTCTCACATTGTCTTGGCGCTCTGCCAGTGTGCTTGTCTTAATGGTATGCAAAAGGGAAATGCTGCAGCATTGGTGACAACTTTGTATATCACTCCACAGTCAATTTTGTAGAAATAAGATTTTCGAAAATCCATTGCTTTGTTTTATGTTTCAATATTGTTTTAAAATTCTTCAATAAAATCATTCAATCCTGTATTCAGTATGTAACACACGATATTTCATGAAATGGACGCTAATGTACATAATCAGGTAACAAGTTATATCTAGCAACAGAAATTTGTCATGCATCTCTGAATATGCAAAAATTGCAAGATCCATGGTTTTGAGGCGAGTGCTACGCACCAACCGCGCCTATTCGGAAATCCCCAGAGGCAACCCCAGTCGGTCACGAATACTACTCGGAGCGGACGCCCCCCCAAAAAAAAAATCCCTTGCTCGTTGTCGTGGGGGGGGGTGCAGTAGATGAAGACTCGGGCGCAGTGTAGGGAATCACCCCTATCTCGGACCTCAGCCATTACCTCCACTAATTTTGCCTGGCCTTCTCCTCTTTCGGTTTACTTCTCTTCATCCCCTTCTGTTCACATCCTAAAGCGTGAGATGGTGGAAAGGCTGGTTTTGTCAGGCCTGAACGGCCTTCGTACTCCATTTGGTATTTATTAGTTATTTATTCTTGTCTATTTTCAGTACCACTGAAAATTCTCCTTGTGTCAACTACTGTCAGTTACTGTTAGTGTGATGTATGACCTTTCCTTACAAGAGGGGCATCGGCCCCAAGCTTTGCCCTATTACTTTATCTTGTATGCGCCGTTAACGACCTCAGATGTTAACGAGGAAGAAATTTTTCAACAAATAAATTTTCAGTACTATACTAACCTACAGCGCTCTACTACCTTTGACATCTGACATAGTCCTGCTACCCCTTTTCACCACAATACTTTATCATAGTGCTATGACATTTCCTTACCTGAGCGCTCTATCACCAACACTTACCTTATCGCTATCTTTTGAATACACCGCTAATGATCGTAGATATTGACGCTACAGAAAAAAAATCATTGAAAGTAATAAAATACCTAGTACGAAGTCCAGGTGAACCTCACATTCCCGCAGAGTCATTGTGTTAAGAGTTATGATTAATCATTAGCACCTATCCTGCAGTCTAAATCAAGGAAGTATATATTTAACAAAACGAGTCTCTTACATACTCATACTCATACTTTAACAAACACCCACCGATTCTCATACACTGTCAATAGTGCGTTATCTCTCATACTTTTATACTGATAAAAGAATGCTTAAAGCTCTCACCTGCTCTCTCTCTCTCTCCGAATTAGCTTGTAACCAGTATTCACAAGATATTCACGGATGAGTACATTGCCAGACTAGACAGTTCATTCATCCTAATGAATAAACCACATCGTGAGGACCAAATAGTCCTCTAGTCAAGTCGAGCCGCTTGTTGTGGAAACGTACATGTTCACTGATCTCGCTGCAAATTAAGGACTTCATATTTTGCAGGATCCATTCGTCGTCAAGCGATCAGGCTTTTTGCAAATGAGGAGAATGGGCCATTGGCTGCCTTTTTGTTCATCCCCGATACAGAGTTATGCTGCTTTAGTCAGCAGTGTGTGCAGCGATATAGTTGGACATGAAAAGTGAGTGACTTTTTCCCTTTACCAGGATTACCAGCTAAATTTTCATATTTTAGTGACAATATCCATTCTACGATGTTTGACTTGATTAATACTGTCAAACATCTGAGCTCTTTCAGCTGCAGTTAAACTTTCCTTTCCAAAATAAAATACAGTAAAATTCGGTTCACAGAACGCCCAAATTATGCAACTGATGGCAATTTCTTTATATGGAAACACCTGCAAATGTTTACTGTATGTTGGGTCCATATGCAATGTATTTTTTTTATTTAAAACCCGTGAAATTACGTTATCAAAAGTATATATAAGCCTTAAGCAAACATGCATATGACGAAAAGGAAGATGAAAGAGTACCATTCTACGAAATGTGGATATAATCAAAAGTAGTCCATATTTTACTTAATTTTTAACCTTGTTTGACATTTGAACTACTAAAAAGAAGTTTATGTATAGTTTTCAAAACAACAAATTTATTCAAGTAGAATATGAACTGATCCAATGTCAATTACTAAACTCTATTGATTTCATTACGACCAGCAATGACACCCATATTTTCCAACTGAAGCCCATCCAAACTCCGAGCGAACTAAAATCGAAGACTTGGACAAGACTTTCATTTCACAACAGCAGTTATACCATGGCAAATACATGTGACAGCAACCTTGGCCTTCTAATAGCATGTGCTGAACCCAAATGTGGGAGCCAGTATGCATACCACGTCAGGCATAAGAGAGGTGATTACAACTCGGTGTCTAGCAATTTTTTGTCACTCTCTCGATCAGTATATTTTGCCCTATAGATACATCATATTGCTGAGCATTGCATATGCCTGCTATTATTTGAACATAGCGTAGTGTTTTAAAACTTTTTAAGAATGTGCTTGTTATTAGATGCATATGATTTTAAACTTTCATTCCCTTTCCAGCACAATTTGGGCTTTTACACGGCTCAAAATATTTCCTCGGTTTGGGCAGCAGGGCAGGGCTGGCTAATTCTATGGCAACTTCGAATGCTGAACCCGAGATGTGGGGCTTCTTGGTGATGCTATTGCGGGAAGGCCTGCCTACCTGCCTTGGTTCCATCCTCGACTCTAGGTGGATCTTAACAGCTGCTGCCTGTGTTGATGAGTATGTATCATTAAAATGAGTTTGTTCCAGAGGCGGAATAATAAGGTAACCGTTAAGGATACCTCAATGTGGTTTAGCACGTGTGTGTACGTATGTGTGTATGTATGTGTGACTAGTGTGTGTGTATGTGTGTGTGTGTGTACTAGTGTGTGTGTGTGTGTGTATGTATGTGTGACTAGTGTGTGTGTGTGTGTGTATGTATGTGTGACTAGTGGTTGTGTGTGTGTGTATTGTGTGTGACTGTGTGTGTGTGTGTGTGTATGTATGTGTGACTAGTGTGTGTGTGTGTGTGTGTGTATGTATGTGTGACTAGTGTGTGTGTGTGTGTGTGTGTGTATGATATGGTGTGTGTGTGTGTGTGTGTGTGTGTGTGTGTGTGTGTATGTGTGTGTTGTGTGACTAGTGTGTGTGTGTGTGTGTGTGTTGTTGTGTGTGATAGTGTGGTGTGATGTGTGTGGTGTACTGTGTGTGTGTGTGTGTGTGTGTGTATGTATGTGACTAGTGTGTGTTGTGTGTGTGTTGTATGTATGTGACTAGTGTGTGTGTGTGTGTGTGTGTGTATGTATGTGTGACTAGTGTGTGTGTGTGTGTATGTATGTGTGACTAGTGTGTGTGTGTGTGTGTGTGTGTGTATGTATGTGTGACTAGTGTGTGTGTGTGTGTGTGGTGTATGTATGTTGTGTAGTGTGTGGTGTGTGTGTGTGTGTGTGTATGTATGTGCTAGTGGTGTGTGTGTGTGTGTTGTGTGTGTGTTGTGTGACTTGTGTGTGTGGTGTGTGTGTGTATGTATGTGTGACTAGTGTGTGTGTGTATGTGTGTGTGTGTGTGTATGTATTGTGTAGGTGTGTGTCTGTGTGTGTGAGTATGTGTGACTTGTGTGTGTGTATGTTGTTGTGACTAGTGTGTGTGTATGTATGTGTGACTAGTGTGTGTGTATGTATGTGTGACTGTGTGTGTGTATGTATGTGTGACTATTGTGTGTGGTATGTATGTGTGACTAGTGTGTGTGTATGTTATGTTGACTAGTGTGTGTGTGTGTTGTATGTACTAGTGGTGTGTGTGTGTGTATGATGTGTGACTAGTGTGCGTGTGTGTTGTATGTATGTGAGAGAGACTAGTGTGTGTGTGCTAGTGTGTGTGTGTGACTAGTGTGTGTGTGAGTGTGTGTGTGACTATGTGTTGTGGTGTGTGTGTACTAGTGTGTGTGTGACTAGTGGTGTGTTGACTAGTGTGTGTGTGTGTGTGTGACTTGTGTGTGTGATAGTGGTGTGTTGACTGTGTGTGTGTGACTAGTGTGTGTGTGACTAGTGTGTGTGTGTGTGTGTGGTGTGACTAGTGTGTGACTAGTGTGTGTGTGTGTGTGACTAGTGTTGGTGTGACTAGTGTGACTAAGTGTGTGTATTATGTGTGACTAGTGTGACTAAGTGGTTGTGTGTGTATGTATGTGTGACTAGTGTGACTAGTGTGTGTGTGTGTATGTATGTGTGACTAGTGTGGTGTGTGTGTTGGTTGTGTGTGTGTGTATGTATGTGTGACTAGTGTGACTAGTGTGTGTGTATGTATGTTGTACTAGTGTGACTAGTGTGTGTGTATTATGTGTGAGTGGTTGGTGTGATTAATCTCCTCTATATGATAACACTAAGTGTGGCTGTCTAGGGATACCCGGACAGAGAAGTCTAGTATGACCGTCACTATAATGGCTGTATTTTGTACCCTTTTGTCTATATATATGTATGTATATTTTCAGTGTATTAGTGGTTGCAAAAGTGTTTAAGCTAGCCCTGATTTACAGACAACAGGATGTCATATCTGTAGATATACATATTGAATATCACATCCTTAAACTATAAATTGTAAGTGGCCATCTTTCTCAGGTACGACCAGTACTTCTATGAAGTCAAAGCTGGAATGCTGCGAAGGAATTCAACGTCCCCTTATGAACAGATTTCCAATGTAACTGAAATCATTAACAATGAACACGAGCTCGCCCTCCTCAGGCTGGCAACTCCACTCCATCTGAACAGGTATATAAAGGAAAATGGAGTATGTGCTTTAATAAGAAATATTTGTCTGGCAGAGCATTCTACAATATGACCAGCAATCACTTAGCATTTTTCCCCACATTTTAAACTGTAGTGTCGCTACTATACTCCGCTCTGGTCTCCGAGTAACTCGAGCACTAGAGTTTCACATTGCTAACCTAACCGATACACCCCTTACGTTAGGCGCACTTATCCAAAACTGTAACAAGAGGTGCGCTCGCTATTACATGCTTCTGGGTCCGAAACGCAGATTTAGGTCATAACGGTTTAAATAAGGTCTTGATTTCCTCGCTTTTAAAACAGCGCCTGTATATCAGCTCAGTTTTAATATAAATTTTATACCTACTGCATTTTTTTCAATAAATACATTTAAAAGTTTAACTAACGTTTTACCTGAATAATTGTTTCTAAGTTCATGCTCACTGTACACATTAAATAAATCCTATAATTACCGGAGGTCCTATGTCAGGTTAAAAAGCTTTAATCTCAATCTGAATCCAGCTCAGAGGAAGCGTTTTTTTTCCTATAACTGTTTCAATTATTATTTTAAAAAAACAATTGTTTCGATTATTAACTCTGCATATTTGATTAGGTGGGTGCGACCAGTGTGCGAGTTTGATAGTGAAGTAGTTGATGTCAACACTGATTGCGTCATAGCAGGCTGGACCAACATGCAGGAAGAAGAACCTTGTAAGCTATGCCATTTTTTGAAGATAAGGGAATAAAAGACATATGAGTGCAAAGATAAAGGTAGACTGAATAAGCATTTCAAACCTGATTCACAGTGACATTTTGCCCTCAGATGACCATCTCCAGCAATCAACTTTGAAGACACTCTCGTGTCCCTCTGTGAACAAGGACAGCCAATTGTGTGTTGACGGCGACCGCACAGAGAAGACTCTTCCTGGGACTCCACTCATGTGCCGCAGGTTTGGCCATTTCTGTTTAATCTTCGAATGATTGTAGGTCTTGTTTGCTAAATGATTGTGAATTTATTATATTATTTAGACATTACATATGATTTGAAACTGCAGACTTGGATTTTGTTACAATCATACCGAAGGTTAGCGATACGTAAAATGTTATTTTGACAGAGGAGAGGAGTGGCACCTTGGTGGTGTGTCGTCGGGTGGAAGCACTGTGGAAAACCGAAATGGGGTCTTCACTAGAATCTCTAGTTTTAGGCAGTGGATTGAAAATCGTCAAAGTAATTCAGACTATTACACGAATGCTCTGGTTAAATATGAAATCGGTTCCTGGCTATATTTGCCACTTATGTATTATATATTATTCTACTCGCTATTGAATAATCATTTTACTACATGCTACTTTTCAGGCTATGTTGATAGGAACCGCAGCAATTCCACAAGAGGTCTAAGACCCGGGTGTGCATTAGGAACTTGCGTTTCGTCGCTTGGAACTTGTCAGACAGTCGTCGGCCACTGCAACTCACAGGTGAGGGACGGGGCGAAAGTAATGACAAGGTTACTGTAATGAGGCAAAACGTATCAAGCACCGATTTTGTGTCCGACTCATCCCTTCATCCCCCCCCCCAATTCTTTCTTTCTCTCTCTCTCTCTCTCTCTCTCTCTCTCTCTCTCTCTCCCTCTCTCCCCTCTCTCTCTCTTCTCTTCTCCCCTCTCTCTCTCTCTCTCTCTCTCTCTCTCTCTCTCTCCCCTCTCTCCTCTCTCTCTTCTCCCCTCTCTCTCTCTCTCTCTTCTCTCTCTCCTCTCTTCTCCCTCCTCCCTCTCTCTCTCTCTCCTCTCTTCCCTCCCTCTCTCTCTCT